TGGATAAATTCCCTCCTTTCCCAAAAGGATTTCCTATTGTAAACATATGCACTATCACAAACACGGCGTTTTGAAAAACCATCCTTCCCTTCTACAGAGAGATGAGTTTTGTACAGAACATAATCAGTGGAAGAATAACCCTAAAGGAGTTTTGATGTCTTTTTCATGTTAATAAAATCAAAATTCTTCTACTCACCACTTTTATAAGTTAATAGTAAAAGACAGAGCCTTACAAAATACTTACATGTCTTTCCTTTCAGACACATTGTTTTGAATATATGAACTATGGTTCTGATACATCTTTGTAGGTGGCAAAACCACATTTTATAGCATGTTTTACATGCTCTTAACAGACAAAAGTCTCCACCAACAGGAACTGCTTTCTAGTCTGAAAAACTATTTAGCAACAATGACTTTTTCTTTGCTAATTGCCTAACAGAACTAATTGCCAGGTCTAGAAAACAAGATGCAATCTGTTCTAAATGGAATGGCATGTATGAGAATAATGTCGATGTTATGGTTAGAGGAACATTTCTTTCTACAGGAACTCGACATTCTAAACATTTTCCCCTTTATTAAAAAAGCACTTTCTTAGTTTAATGTTCATGAGGCATAAAATATTCTAGAGAGGCACAGTGTATTCAAACTATCTTCTAACACATTCCATCCAAATAAAAATACAACAAACCATTGTGCAGGACTGTTTGAAGAATAAATAAAAACTCTTCCATGTACTTTCTTTCACCACAGTTCCACTGAACTGCTTGTGGGGAAAACTGAACACTAGCTGGGAGCTTCTGTCTGTAAGCACTGTTGGTATGTCAAAAGCTTTTCCTTCCCTAACTAAACTTCTCTTTAAATTACATTCAGATTTCTGTGGTACCATAATAATTTCAATATGGGATGTATTTCAATATTTGGTAAAGGTTTCTTTTCTATTTCCACTCCTAGTTATTTCAGGTTTAGGTTTTTTTTTCATTCCAGCCTCCATGCAGGACATACTACCCCCCCAATATTTACCTGTGAGGTCTTGTAACTTAATAGGGGTTATTCTGAACTCCTCTATCTATGACATCAAGAAATGTATAAAAATGGTATCTTTTAAGATATGTAGCAGGATTTTTTAGGTGCATCAGAAAATGTGTCAAATCAAGGTAGTAATTTGAGACTTAATGGACTAAGAAGAGGGTATCACATAAAACAGAATGGTTTTAGTTTCCAAGGGACTTGGGAACTTCAAATATATGTACATCCCTGCACTTCAAGTTTCAGAACCAAATAAAAAAAACAGAAAAACACTTAACATCTCTTTACTCTTTAACATCTTCATCAGTGATCTGGATTCAGGAGTTAGATATGAACTGGCCAAGCTCACGAATGATACTAAATTATGGGAGAGGGCGGTCAAACCACAGGACAGGCTGGGGATACAGGGCTGTGGCAGGGTACTGTTGGTGCCTGCCATTAAAGGGCCGAGCCAAGCAGTGAGCAGGTGCTTGATTGCAGCGGCCATTTTAGATCCCAGGCTGCCTATATAAACAGGGCAGTTTGCTACTGGCAGTGCAGGCAGTAACATTGCCTGGTTGCAAGGCTGCATGCAACATCTTGGAGGTAAGGGCAGGAGCTGTAGGGGATGGGTCTGGAGGCTCCTGGTCCTGGGCATGACCTGAAACTGCACCCTGCCAGGAGTGGGTGGCCTGGTGGGGCTCTCAGTGGCACGGGAGCCCCCAGGAAATGCCAGGCCAGTTACCACCCCGGTGAAAGGCGAGTAGGGGCACTTTAACCTCAGCCCTCACCTTTGGGTGGGCCAAAGACCAACAGAGCAGGGTAGGCCAGGTAAGCTTCTGGAGGTGCCTGAACCTGCTGGGGGGAGTGACCCTGCAGGGTCATGCACGCTTCCAGGAGCACGTGAGCTAGGAATGGGGGACCCCAATCCCTAAGTGCAGGTAGGAGGCAAAAACCCAACCGAGGCACTCTGTTGGTCAATGCTGGGGCCAGGACCAAAAGGGTCAAAAGGGCCAGGGGCCCACTGCAAGGGATGCCCATGGTGACCGAAGAAGCTCAGGGTCCCAACTGGCCTGAGACGGGGCCAGGGCTTATGGAAGCTGAAGGTCCCATAATTGGGGGCCACAGCTAATGGGCAAAGGAGACAGTTGAGGCAACTGCCTGAGATGCCATCTACGAGGTCTGGGCCAAAGTGTAAGGGTGGAACAGAGCCGCGGATAGCCCCCCCAATATTGGGGTGTACAATGGGCAGCCTCCCACCTTAATTAACAACCTAATTAATTACCAACAATGCGTTGCAGGCAATAGAGGTGGGCGGCATGCCCAGAGGCAGGTGGGGAAACTAGCTCTGTGGCTAGTCAGGGACCCCACTTTGCCACAAGTGTGACTTGGACACACTCTTAAGGTGACCTGACCAAAACCTGACAGCCTTCAATCCAGAGAAGTGCAAGGTGCTGCACCTCAGTAGGACGAACCCTCAGCATACTTTCAGGCTCGGCAGTGCTACACTCAGCACCATGACTGAAAGGGACTTGGGGTTCTTGATTGACCACAAGATGAGTATGAGCCACCAATATGATGCCGTGGCTGGTGAAGCTAACCAAACTCTGACGTGCATCCACCGATGCATCTCAAGCAAAACCAGGGAAGTCACCCTCCTGCTTTACTCAGCCATGGTGAAACTGCAACTGGAGTACTATGTCCAGTATTGGGCCCCCCACTTCAGGAAGGATGTGGAGAAGCTTGAGAGAGTCCAGAGGAGAGCCACTCGTATGATCCAAGGCCTGAAGGGAAGGTCATATGAGGAGAGGCTGAGGGATTTAGGACTCGTCAGTTTGGAGAAGTGAAGGCTCAGGGGGGACTTGGTGGCAGCCTACAATTACATAAGAGGGGTACATCAGAACTTGGGAGAACACTTGTTCACCAGAGGTCCACAAGGGATCACAAGGTCTAATGGCCATAAACTCTGAAGGAAGACCAAAGGAAGGCTGATTTAGACTGGATATAAGAAAAGAGTTCTTTACAGTGCGTGTGTCCAGGGTCTGGAACAAACTACCCCAGAGGCAGTGCAAGCACCTACTCTGGACTCCTTCAAAAAAGAGGTGGATATATTTCTTGCTGGGTCACTTGATCCCAGCTGACTTCCCACCTATGGCGGTGGAGCTGGACCTGATGATCTCTTGACGTCCCTTCCAGCCCCTAATGTCTATGCAATCTATGAACACCCCCCCACAAAGGCAAATCTTAGACAAAATGTTTTGTTTTACTGGCTTTGGTCAAAGCCATGGAAAAGCAGTTTATTTAGTTTTCTAATTGAAATCATGGACTTCTCTAGGTTCTCCTGGAATCTAGCATAAGCTTGCTAATGTATTTATGGACCAGCCCTGAGTATGAGATTCATGATGCAGCTCAAAACATGGATTCAGTATATACTGCAATAGTTTGACACAGATTTAATATACGACTTTATGAACATGTATGTCCTGCAATATGTTTTAAAGGTCAGATAGCTTGGAATCTTTTTAAAAGAAATGCAAGCCAACATTATCTTCAAGCAATCATTTGAGATATAGGAATATTCCCCCTCTTATCGTAAACACTTGTTTCTAAGCACTTTCCTTTGGTTCCTGGCCTAGACTTCCTCAGGTTCTAATGGGAAGGTCATTGCTATCTGCTTCATTAAAATACTGGTACAACTCCAGCGATGAATTATCATATGCTTCTCGTCCACTTTTGGGTCTGCTGCCAAGCGCACTAGGGAGCCCCCTGTGTTCCTGTGGGACGCTCCATCCGCCCCAACATCGCAGCATTCATGAGCCTGGTACCTTGAGATACGTAGAAAAAACTTTTAAAGCTGTGTCTATGTCTGAATCGTTAAATCTCTCCGAATTGATTTGGAGGGTTCTAATTCAATTTGGAGAGATTAAAGGGTCTCCTGATTCGATTCAGATATTTGGCCACTGAAGCATGCTGAATCTCCACTAAATTGAATCACAGACTAAAGATTTGCACAGGCCTAGTACTTATCTGCCTGAAACACCTACAAGAACACAGTTCAGACCCAGATTTACAACATCAACACATTGCACAAAATCATCTATTTCATCCTCACCCACAACAACTTTACTTTCAACAACTATCACTTCATTCAAACAATGAGCATGACTATGGCATGAAGATGGCCTCCCAATGTGCCAACCTCTTCTGACCCAGCTTGAAGAAAAATTTGTAGGAAACCGTGCCATCAAATATGCATTATACCTGAGCTATGTAGATGATATTTTCATCATCTGGACCAAACACCTAGGCTTGCTTATGGACTTCTATCACAGACAACTCATTGCCACCCTTCTATCAAATTATGTCTGGAATAGTCTTACACTAACATCAACTTTCTAGATATAACGATCCGTATTTGGGGTGGCTCCCTACAAACCACTATATACAGAAAACCCATGAACCACCAGTTACATCCAGAAAACCAGCAACTATACCAGACACACCGAATAAATGTAATCTAGTCAGGCCCACAGATACAACAGCACTGGCTCTGAAGAGAATACTTGTGACATCTACTTCACCAGCCTGAAAACTGCTTTTACCCAGCAAGGACATTTCAGCCAAGAAACAAGTTTGCATCTTTCAACAAGCCACACAATAACCTACTAATACCAAAAGAAAAACCCCCATGGGGCTAGATCTAGCCCAGAGAGTCACTTCATTTGGACCACCAGGCTACCAGAAGTAGGGTAGCATGGCGTGCTGCAGAATCCAGAGCCCCTGAGCTCCAGTGGACATGGTCAGAAGGTAAAGAAAGGGTACCACAGCTTTGCTTGTCCTGCAGCTGCCAGTCTCAGTGCCGTCTCCACTGGCACTGTGTGAAATATAACCCCTTAAAAATGGCTTTGTTATAGAATACATGGGGAAAACCATGTTAGTTTAAAGAATTAAGACTCTTCCAAATGTGCAAGTTAAGTAAATTTACAGATCCTTACCAGTTCTTGAGTATCTTGCATTAATGGCAAAAATGTAGCTTCCAAAATAGCAACTTGGTCAGGGCTGAGTTTCTGCCATAGACTAATCAACATAATCACCAGATGGGTGGCACTCTTCAACTTTATGAATGCCTGGAACATATTGGCTTGGTTTTCCTGTGCAGCATCTGCTAAAGCTATTACCTGCAAGAATTACAAACTTCTGTTAGGTATAATTTTACCATACTTGTGCACACAATACCAAAATTGCATTTGGCACACTTTTGTTTTTCTTTAGAAAATCCTGATGAACTCTTGTCTTCCATAAACACAAACCACACAGAGTATTAAATGAGTTATCATTTGTCTGAATTTGTCTTTTGTGCATTCAAGGTAATTTAAAATCCATACGGTAGTAGGATTAATCTATTACAATCAGTGTAAAGAGGTTTCTATTTAATGCATATTCTATGATAAGGCATTCCCCAGGTTGAGCCCCATCATATAATGTAACACAATAGTCCCTGACAAACTGTAAACATTCAGGTTTATACCACACATGATGCTAATCCCTGTATGACCAGCAGCCCTGAAGGACTCATCAAAAGTACTGAACATATTTTATCTCTCTTAAAACAGTTATTTTTAGTTATTTCAGTTAAAGCTGTTATTTTCAGTTATTTCTGCATGAAAATAATTACTGCCTTATTATTTTGTTGGGGGGGGGGGGGGGCTGGGGGGGGGGGGGGGCTGGGGGGGGGGGGGGGCTGGGGGGGGGGGGGGGCTGGGGGGGGGGGGGGGCTGGGGGGGGGGGGGGGCTGGGGGGGGGGGGGGGCTGGGGGGGGGGGGGGGCTGGGGGGGGGGGGGGGCTGGGGGGGGGGGGGGGCTGGGGGGGGGGGGGGTATGTGTGCATAGTTTGTACCAGTTACTTCAACATTGTACCAATAATGTAGATGTTCTGGCATGTGACTGGTTGATGCTATTTTAACATAAATGGCAGACACAGGACCGCACAGATCTTGAAAAGAAAATTCATTTTGTGCTTGCTTGAAATGGTACCTAAATTTCCTGTAAGCTGGTATGATATATTATCCTTGTCAGTACTTAAGTAAAGAAAAAAACAAAACCAGAAGCACTGGAGAGTACTAAATGTTATTTTATTTATTTTAGATGTGTTACATTAATATAGATACTATTACCTACTTCCTATACATAAACACATAGCATTACCTTGCAGAATTGCAAGAAAAAACATTATTTGACTTAAGGGGAAGTTATTAAGGGATGTATCCAAATTGTCAGTTTTTTATACAAAATACTGAAACATCTACTAGTCATTATGAACTAGCAATATAGCTTCCCATTTTGTTTTCTATATACCAGGAATAGATTCTTCCATGCTGCCCACACTAAATGAGTTTTATTTTAAAAATCAGTAGTACCTGGTAGCTTAAAACTGGGCACTTAACCAGAACTTCCCTGGTCTCCTCTCTGCCAGTAACTCTATGTACTTCCTATTCAAAGCTTGGTTTGCAGAAGTTCTGATCATTTGTAGCTACCATTTATATCAACACAAAGCACCACCCTTCACTTCTTTTACCTTTATTTATTCATGTATAAAATGGGAACATCACCACTATTAAGGAGGACAAGGGTTGGCAAACTTTTAGGAGTGATGGGCTGAATTAACAGAGTTCAGTTAAAAGATGGGGTTTGCAGACTGTATAACATTGCCTGGCAGGCCAGATTTGACCCAGGGGCCATAGGCTTCCAATCCCTGAAGTGTACATACTATTAAGTCTTGATTTTGTAGACTACTGTATGACACTCATGTGAAAGTCATACACAACTAATATAAAAAATAATTTACTATGTAAAGCAAAGGTATGTCAATTTATTAAAGCTCAGCAATCTTTTAAAAAGGCAAAGATACTATGCTATGCATCTTCACCCTAGAAACAAAGCCAACCAGCTGTTAGCATTTGTTTAAGGAAGCCTATTTTTAAAGTGTAACACTGGCACTACAGATGTGTGTGTTCCCTCCAGATTCCCACATGCCCAGAAACAAAGACAGAGACTTGGAGGAAGTCATACATATGAAGTATTTCAAACAAAATGTGTTGATAGCTTTTTTGTTTTACATTTTAGGATTTAAGGTTTTCAAGTAAAAAGGGAACTTAAAGGGTCCCTCTCAAGTCCAAACACTGTATCAACTGAAGCCAAATAGTGAAGCAGAGGCCCACTTAGCTGCACTAAGGAAAAAAGTCCAAGTCATAAAAGGTAGTGTGAAATTAATCCTAAAAAGTGAGTGCTGCCAAAATACGCTCTAAAATTAGTTACAGAAAAGCAGCAGCATTGTAGATATGAATTATATGATATCAACATGGTCACATAGCTCCTTTACCTTAATAAAGTGGCACTGTTCATGTTGCATATTGCATACAGTACATCCATGATATAGTTGCTAGCCTACAGCAAAAAAATGGGGCAAAAACAATAACAGCATTAGGTCCAGCTCAAACAATTACATGTTCCCTTTGGAAAAGGTTCACTAAGCAAAAGTTAAAAACTGGACAATGGCAAAGGGAATCTGAGAAGCTCTGATAGCTCAGCAGGCAACTCTTAAGAACAGGACATTCATTTTAATGCCTTACCCCTCATCACTAAAGTTTTAGGGTTGCCACCATGCCAGAACTTTCATAACAGTTCTAGCTGCAGCCTCTTTAAGACAAAAAATCTATACATAAGCCTCTCTACAGATGACTAGTTTTCCAGCCCAGATTTTACCAGGAAGTAGCTGAAAATGCGAAGAGTCTGCTTACTCCATCTTAGATCCTAATAAGGCAATGGACATACTAGGAAAAAATAGTGTTTTGTTCAGAAAAAAGTTTTAAGATACAGGCTCTCTCATTTCCATATACAACACAAAACCAGTGCCAAGACCTATATCCTCTTTCATTGTTACATTACATATGCATACATAGAATCATGGAAGTGATTTATGTGATAAATACAACACTATAATAAACAGGATCTGTTATGCACTGAGAACCGTATCACCTCAACCTCATGTGAATAGGTGACTGTCCAATCTGAGAAGATATAGACAACAACTTGTAGAAAACTGTTCTTTCTCCCCAAGGAGTCTTTCATAGGGACATCACAGCTGTCAAATAAGTAATCTTTCCTGTGCAATGTGTTTTGGGGAATCTTGGGAGGGTACATTTATTTATTTATTTGTTTATTCACTCAGTTTATATGCCACCCTTCCCAACAATGGCTCAGTACAATTTAGAAGAAAACAAAAAAAATTAAAAACAATAAGTAACAAGAGGACTAAAGCAATTTAAAAGGGAACAATGTAGCAGGGAGCCAGAGGGGATGCCACAGAAGGCTAAGCTTGCTGTGTGGGGCTGGCAGCTGGGCAAAGGCGAGCTGCTAGGAAGCAAGCAGGCCAGTGACAACAGGGGTAGATGCTACCAGGCAGTGACTACCCTGGAGCTAGCTGTGCTGCAGGAAGCAACCCAGGGGAGACCTCAATGTAGCGCAGGAGTAAAGTTTGCAAGCAACTGGGTGAAACTTCAGCAAAGGAGGGCAAGCTGGCCACCAATCCAAAGCGGAAACCCCAGTATGTTGCTGCAGAGCCACTTGACAAGAAGGGGTGGGGCTCTGGGGCACATAAGACCAATGCCACAGACCATGTAGGCAGTCTGGCCCTGCAGTCTGCAAGGAGAGGACCTCCTGGAGGAGATGGCTGCAGGAGATGGATTGGCAGGTGCCTGAGCTATCCCATAGCTGGAAGGAGAGAACTAAGGGGCTTATGGAAAAGATCCAGAGTGACGTGGATTTTACTTTTTAGGTTTAGGACAGCAGTTTCCTGGTATTTATACTAGGATTAAATTTAAAACTGTAGGACTTGGTGGTGGCTGTAGGGGAGGACAACAGCCACAGAGGGGTAGGACACTGGGACAGGCTGCTTCCATTGTACCAGCCTTCAGCCATGTGAGTCCAGGGAAGAGCTAAGTCCAGTGGAAGCAGCCTGGCCTGGATCCAGAGGGCTGAGGGCTGGTACAGAGGAAGCAGCCTGGCCTGCAGTCAGGGATACAGAGGGCCTGCGGTCAGGAATTCAGACAGGCAGGGTCAGAGGAAGAACTTAAAGTATCATCTGTGAGGCATGGGCACGGACACTGCTACAGAGGAGAATGGAGGCCATGAACACAGCTGATAAGGCGACTGGTGCCCTGAGGTACTATTAGGGTCAGAACGACTACAACTTAGTGCTCAAGGGGCAAGGCTGAGGTGGACTGGGCTTAGCCAGGGACCCTGTGGACAGCCTCCTGAAACCCTGTAAGTTGCATCAAGGTGTGGCAGGAAAGGTAAAAAGAAAGTATACCCCAAGAAGCAAGAGTGGAGACACCAGTCACATGGCCACCAAGGAGCACCACAGCCACCCCTGGGGGGCCAGATCCTGCTACAAACTAAAACATCAAATTAGAAACCTCCTAAACAGCAACTCATTCTTGGTTTGTTTGGTGAATTCCTGTCCAAATACGAAGGAATAAAGAGCTTCCAAAAGATGTCCAGGCTTGGGCCCCAGGGAGCCTGAAGAGGGAAGGAGTGCCAGAGCCAAGGAGCAACTGCAGAGAATGACCTCCCATATTTTTACCAAGCAAACTTGGTGCACTGACAGCACTTGTAGGAAGTGGCTCTTAGCTGACCATAGGGATAGTGATGGGGCATAAGTGAAAAGGCAGTCTGTTACATTTGTAGGGCCCAGACCATTTAAGGGTCTTATAGATCAAAACTAGCACCTTGAACTGTGTTTGTAAAACCATTGGAAGTCCATCAGACTCTGGAGCACTGGAGTTATATGCTTCTGGTGACATATCCCTGTCAGAAGGCAGACCATCATGTTCTGCACTAACTGCAGCTTCTGGATGGTTTTTAAGGGCAGTCCTAAATAGGACGCATTGCATTAATTTAGCCTTAAGGTTACAAAGGCATGGATCCAGACCATGCCAGGACAAGAAAGGCAAAACGTGCCAACACATCTCTACCACTCCCAAAATAACCACACCCCACAGCAGAACCATCATAATTCCTGGATCTTACACCTGCACCTCCAGAAATATAATATATCTCATCCAGTGTACCAAATGCCCTGATGGAAAGTATTTAGGAGAAACCAAACAACAACAGTGTAC